TTTCTCAGTCAAGGAAATCACCTTTGAATCCGCCGGAATTGCTGCTTTTGTTGCTGTGGATGCCATTGCTCACGATGTAGAGGCTTCCCCTGATGTAGCTGGCATTGTACCTTTAGCTACAGGCAATGATGCTGCAGAAAATTGCCGTGCCTTAGGGCTGATTTATACGTCGCGCTTATCTCGCACCAAATCTAATATAATTAGAACCGACGAAAGCGCGAGTTTGGCGCGACAAAGGAGTTTGATTTTGATTTAGACGATGAACTTTCGTCGTGCCAATAGCAAAATACACTTCTGCGAGTTGCCAGCCACAGGGAACCAATAAACTGAAAACACTCGAAGCAAAGACAAATCACGTATGGCGCCCTTCACGCATCTAAAGAAAGTGCTTCTTCTGAAGTCGCTTATTGGAGCCAGGAGAAGACGACAGAATATGCAAGCAATGATGATTAATTTGATGAACAGAAGACGGTGTAGGCTTTTGCGGATTCTTTTTTTGCTACAGTTGATTCTTACTGGTTTACAACAAGCAGTTGCAGTGCCTATTAGGCCTAGGATAAGATCATGCCGTAGGTTGCAGCGAAACACTGGTTGGTGGAACCTCGTTTGGACAGTATATTCCGAGAAAAGGTTTAAAAAGACATTTAGAATGACTAGGCAAACATTTTCCTTAATTCATGATAGAATCAAGGATGATTTAACGAAGGAGAGCGTCACAGAAGAACCAATTCCATCCCAGATGAGACTAGCAATTTGCTTGTATCGACTCAGTAGAGGAGACTACTACAATACCATTTCAGAGCTAGCTGGTGTCGGTGAAACAACTGTGTGCAACATAGTGAGAGAGGTAGCTAAGGCAATCATTGAAAATTTATGGGAAGAATTTGTTGAGGCCAAATTTCCACATAGCAAGGACACACTGAATGAGAAAATGAAAGAAATGGAACAAGAATGGCAGTTTCCTTTTGCATATTCTGCAATTGATGGGTGTCACATACCAATTAAGTGCCCACCTGGTGGCCAAGAGTCATGTAAAGAATTTCATAATTTTAAGAATTTCTACTCAATCGTTCTAATGGGAATGGTAGATGCCAAATATCGATTTATATGGGCAAGTGCTGGTTGGCCTGGCAATTCACATGATGCCATAATCTTTCAAGCAACAAACCTTTATACCAAACTAGCTGAAGGTACAGCCTTTCCACCTATTGCCCATCATGAGAATGGCGTCAGTATTCTACCTTTAATCCTGGGAGATTCTGCCTTCCCCTTCAAGCCTTGGCTGCTGAAGCCTTACACAAATGCTACACTGATGCCAGAGCAGAGCTATTTCAATTATAGGTTGAGTCGAGCACGCATGGTAACAGAGTGTGCATATGGACAACTGAAAGGTCGATGGAGAGTCTTGCTCAGGAAGTCTGAGAATGATAAGGAAACAGTACGTGCAGTTACACTAGCTTGTGTAGTACTACATAACATTTGCATCGAACAAGGAGATTTGGCTCAAAGGCAATGGGACCTCTCCAAAGATTCAGCATCAAATCAAAGACGTACACAAGAAGAAGTCCAAGACCTTCTTATGATAAGGCAATGCAGACCTCTAAGAGATACAAATCGTTCTGCAGCACAGGTTCGTGATTATTTGAAAGACAAGTTATTTTTAGAAAAGCAGCAAGTTTAGGGGATGCAAAGCTCCCATACTTTCAATACTCTCCCTCCCTTAATAGTATCCCCCTAACTCCAAAATTTTACAAAATTACCATCTATTTCCATTTATTAAAACCCCCCTAAAAAGGAAAAAAATGCTTTTTTCCATCCACCCCCATTTATTAGACAACACCCCAAAGGCTATTGGCAGCTATTTTTGATATTTTGCAAGATTCAAGGGGCTATTAGAAGCACTGATTGGCTTTTACCCCATTTGAGAGCAGAACGCTGATAGGTTGTTTACATTTTTCCTCCTTGTTATATGAATTGGTATAGTATCTTTTAGTATCGAAATATCTTTTCAACAAAATGTAAAAAAGGTAATGTTACCCCCCAACTATTAACATCACACCCCTATTTAAGCGCTGCATGACAAAATCAACCCATTTCCATTTATTAACACCCTCCACAATTATTTATCCTGGGCAAATTTCCAACTGCCTCTTTTTAATAAGTCCCCCCTACTATTAGGGGATGGAGAGTAAGCTGCATCAGCTTTGGAAAACTGACAAAGTTTCAATTATAATTCTTGACAATTGTGATTTCTGGAGCCACTTTGACACTATTTATACACTACTTATGTTCTTATGTTGTACATTGTAGTTTGTATTAAATAATGTTTCTTTTGTAATTACTTGTAGATTGGATTTAGGATTAATTGATAGATGAATGGAAACTGAAACTGAAAACTGAAACTGAAATATGATGTGATTCTAAATGTTTATAGCTGAAATAAATCATCTGACTGGGATTGATGTTCAAAGTTTTGATTCCTTGGAGGATAATTATCTTGTGGAGTAAATGCTTGTCGAAATTGTTGTCTTGGATCCATACTGTATGACTGCTGCATGTTTTGGGGGAAATGTTGATAAGGAGGAGGCTGTGGAACTGGTGGTTGGAATTGCTGCTGTGCTTGATTTCCATTGAACATCATTGTGAGTAATCTCATTTCATGTTCTCTTGATCTTTGATTCTCTCTCTCAAGAAATGCTAGCATGTCAGCCATTGGGTCCTTTTTTAGCTGCTCAGTGACCTCAAGGATTGCTTTTGATGTTATTTTTACCAGATCATCAAGCTTTTCCTTTTTTCCAGCTGCCTTTTTGATGGGAACAAATGGCCTCTTCTTTGAAGGAAGATTTGCTCTTGTGGGAGTTGAAGTTCCTGAGGAGGTCTCTGGTGAAGGACCTTGGCCAAACTCATTGTTGTTGTAGCCCCCCTCTTCATTTAAATGATTCACTTCAGTTGAGGTTGGACTTCCTTCTTGACTGTCATGTGAACAAGTTGATGGTTCAATGGCCTGCTCTGGCTGACAAGATTCTCTGGACTTGACAAGAGGCAGCAGTTGATTAAACCATTTCCATAGTCCTGTCCTCCTGAAATCGCTTTATGCCAGATGCAGATTTGCAGGTTAAGGCAGCCTTCTTGCACTCACTCACGCACTTCTTGAACTTATTTCTAGTTTGGACAAGGCTGAACTTGTATTCTTGTCTCCTAGCCTGGCAACGTTTCTCCACCTCTTTGATTACCTCAAAATGTAAACACAAAAGTTGCAAAAGGAATCAGCATTTTAAGTAAAGTAAGACAATTTGTTCCACAGAGTATTGCTAAACATATACAATGCATTTGAACTACCAAATATTCTTTACGGTCTTTTAAATTGGGGAAATGCATCTAAAACCACTCTTGACCCAATTAATAAAAAAATAGAAAAGCCATAAGATTAATAACATTTAAAAGTAAAACTGAGCACAGTGAACCTCTTTTCAAATATCTAAACCCTCTTGATCTTGAAGATTGTTATAAATTCAAATGTGCTAAAATTTTGTACAATTTAAATAGTAACATTTATAATACTACTTTTGGGAAATTATTAAAAAAAATCCAAAGACATTCATAACTTTAAAACAAGGCATGCTACATCAGGGAAATTTTTCAAACCATCCTTTACAACAAGCTATGGTAAAGGTTCTATAACAAATTCTGGTGTTGATATTTGGAATTCCATTCCAAAAGATAGAAATTCCTGATTTCAAAATACTAGAACCTATGAGTTATATATCGATCAAATTCATGTAACTAAAATGGCTCATGGCTCGAAAGCCCTCTCTGGGTTATTTCCATGAGTCATTCAGCTTTGTTTATTACATGAGTTGTTAAAATAATTATAATATTGTAATATCACGCTGAGAATACACAAAAAATTCAAATTACCTTCAAATAAATTTCTCCGTTCTTGCTAGTCTTTGTGTTTGTAAAAATCCGTTTTTTGCGAAAATACTCATTATCGCAGATAACGTCCACTAGGTCGTTTGTTATGTCCATTGGCCACGATGACTTCTTCCCGGCCTTTTTCTTTCGCTTTTCAAACAACACATTACATGCCTCTTCCGCTTCACTTTCTGACCCAAAACTCCCTCTTTCGTCCTCATTAAAAATTTCGGATTCCACGCCAGCTTCCTCACTTTCGCTGCCGCAATCCACGCTATTGCTTACATACACGTCTGTTTCTGCCTTTTTTCTTCAGAGATGAATACAAGAAGCAAGAACAACCCAACTATACTTTGGCGCCAACAAAAACTTAGCACCACTGCGCTTGCGCAACTAATGTATTTGACGGACTGGAAAAAACACTATTTGATTCAAGTCATCAAAAGCGCGACGTCTAAAGCCAACTCGCGCTTTGGTCGTGTAGCACGGCTGACCATGACGAACTTGAGTCGCACCTAGCATTTGTATCGAGCTAAATTGCAAATTGGATTTATACGCCGTGCTAATGTTGAATCTAATCGATACTTAGATTTTGAAGAGGCAAAGTATTTCATTCGGTGCGAGATAAGCGCGACGTATAAATCAGCCCTTACCCTTGGATTCAGCTGATTCCTTGAAGTGAGTCATCTTGGAAGTAAACTTTGGGGTAGGCAGTTTTTCATTTTGTGAATTATCTAATGGCCGGCCATCGCCCATCACTTCTTTGACAATTCGATCAGACATCAACTGTGAGCTTTGCTCTTCAGCCTCAGCTTCAACTTCACTTCCATCTTCTTTGCTTGAAGGCAAGTGGCTTACACATCTTTTCTGTTGGCTTGCCTGATTTGAGGAAAATCTCCCACTTGTTAAGAGATTTCCTCTCTTCATCAACAGACTGCTCGTCAGCAGTGTCTCTTGTTGCGTTGAGAAAGCAAGAGTAATCTTGCTTCCAGCATCTGATGCATGCATTTAACTGCTCACAACTCTTGAATGTGTGTGCCTTTGGGTGTGCAGCCGTAGGCCGTTTGTTGTTTTCTTGCAGCCTGCACGGTAAACGCAGTGTGTCATAGACACGCTTCTTGAAATCGAATTCTAGTGGCCCAATCACCGTTGGTTGCGTGGAAAATGCAGCAGGAAAGAAGTCTTCGTGTGCTCGATTGTCTCCAGAAATTATACTAGCGTGGCTGTCGCTTTCATTTTGACTGTCAGAGTGACTGTCTACTTGCATGTTATGCTTCTGCTGCAGGTCTTTGACAAAGGCAAGGGCTTCTTTATGCTCAATACCAGCCTTGTTCATCATGCTGCAAAGATAGACCGAGTTTTAAGGTTATCAATCATAACTTTGTCATGTTTTTGAACTGTGTTTTTGATTTGAAGAACTAAACAGAAAATTGATAATGCCTTTATCCCCTGTCGAGGTTCTATTGCTTCAAACAATGGGAAGTTTCCCTTCTTAGAGATTAGACATTCCCCTCTTCCTGCTCCCTCCCAACTCCTCTCCTCTTATCACTAAGTATGAAGCTTGTTGCTAAATATGCTGCCAAGAGACCATTGATGCAATAGGCATATGATAGGGAACGACACATACAGATGGGTGTGCAGGTTTATAGTAATTCTTTTATAGGAAGGGTTGCTCAATTCTCTTAACAAAAGGTGGACTAAGCTAGAATCAATGTTCAGATGTAGCTATCTGTTTGCGCAACCCAAATGAATGGCAAAAAGTTGTATTTTAGGGTTAGGGTTAGGGTTAAGGGTTTCAGGTTAGCGTTAGGGTTAGGGTTAGGTTAGGTTAGGGTTAGGGTTAAGGTTGGATTAGGGTTAGGTTAGGGTTAGGTTAGGGTTAGGTAGTTAGGGTTAGGGTTAGGTTAGGTTAGGTAGTTAGGGTTAGGTTAGGGTTGGTTAGGTTGTTGGTAGGGTTAGGTTAGGGTTAGGGTTAGGGTTAGGTTAGGTTAGGGTTAGGTAGGGTTAGGGTTAGGGTTAGGGTTGGTTAGGGTTAGGGTTAGGGTTAGGGTAAGGGTTAGGTTAGGGTTAGGGTTAGGTTAGGTTAGGGTTAGGTTAGGTTAGGGTTAGGTTAGGGTTAGGGTTAGGTGTTAGGGTTAGGTTAGCGTTAGGGTTAGGTTAGTTAGGGTTAGGTTGGTTAGGGTGTAGGGTTAGGTTTAGGTGTAGGGTTAGGGTTAGGGTTAGGGTTAGGGTTCAGGTTAGGTTAGGGTTAGGTTAGGGTTAGGGTTAGGGTTAGGGTTAGGGTTAGGGTTAGGGTTAGGTTAGGGTAGTAGTTAGGTAGGTTAGGGTTAGGGTTAGGTTAGGTTAGGTTAGGGTTAGGGTTAGGGTTAGGTTAGGGTTAGGGTTAGGGTTAGGTTAGGTAGGGTTAGGGTTTAGGGTTAGGTTAGGTAGGTTAGGGTTAGGTTAGGGTTAGGGTCTAGGGTTAGGGTTAGGGTTAGGGTAGGGTTAGGGTTAGGTTAGGGTTAGGGTTAGGGTTAGGGGGTTAGGGTAGTTATGGGTTAGGGTAGTTAGGTTAGGTTAGGGTTATGGGTTAGGTTAGGGTAGGTAGGTTAGGAGTTAGGGTTGGGTTGTGGTGGTTAGGGTTAGGGTTAGGGTAGGTTAGGGTTAGGGTTAGGGTTAGGGTTAGGTAGGTAGGGTTAGGGTTAGGGTGGGTTAGGTAGTTGAGTTAGGGTTAGGTTAGGGTTGGTTAGGGTTAGGGTTAGGGTTAGGGTTAGGTTAGGGTTAGTTAGGTTAGGGTTAGGTTAGTTAGGTTAGGTTAGGGTTAGGGTTAGGGTTAGGGTTAGGGTTAGGGTTAGGGTTAGGTTAGAGGTTAGGGTTAGTTAGGTTAGGGTTAGGGTTAGGTTAGGGTTAGGTTAGGTTAGGGTTAGGGTTAGGTTAGAGGTAGGTTAGGGTTAGGGTTAGGGTTAGGTTAGGTTAGGGTTAGGTTAGGGTTAGTTAGGGTTAGGTTAGGTTAGGTTAGGTTAGGGTTAGGGTTAGGGTTAGGTTAGGGTTAGGGTAGGTTAGAGGTAGGGTTAGGGTTAGGGTTGGTAGGTTTAGGGTTGGTTAGGGTAGGGTTAGGGTTAGGGTTAGGGTTAGGGTTAGGGTAGGGTTGAGGTTAGGGTTAGGGTTAGGGTTAGGGTTAGGGTTAGGGTTAGGGTTAGGGTAGGGTTAGGGTTAGGGTTAGGTTAGGTTAGGGTTAGGGTTAGGGTTAGGGTTAGGGAGGAAGGGTTTTAGGTTTAGAGTTAGGGTTAGGGTTTAGGGTTAGGTTAGGGTTAGGTTAGGGTTTAGGGTTAGGGTTAGGGTTAGGTTAGGGTTAGGGTTGGTTTAGGTGGTTAGGGTTGGAGGTTAGGTTAGGGTTAGGTTAAGGGTTAGGGTTAGGGTTAGGGTAGTTA